GAAAATTAATCACTTAAAAAATATTTCTCAAAAGGCAAAAAAACATCTTCCTTTTAAATTTTCCTTTCTTAATGTTAAGTATTCTTAAATATATTAAATAATGAAAAAGAAGGATAAAAATAACTCATATGAGGAAAAAGTTCGTTTAATTAATTATCTTAAACAACCAAAAAATGAAATTAATCTTTATATTTATTATATATTTATTTTAAAACTAAAACCCTATTCTAGTTTTACATATCTTCCTATTATAAATTTAAGGCAAAAACATACTTTTGTTTATTATTTGTTATATTCTTAAAAAATTTGCCTATAGTACTAAATTTATTATCACTAATAAAGCTTATTCTTTATAAAATAAATTCCATAAAACCATCTATATCTTTTTATTTTTTCCGATTGGAAGTAAAACTCTCAAAGCTTTCCAATTTTTCTTTAAAAAAGTTTAATTTTAAATTCATTCCATCTAAATTTCTTTCATTTTTAATATATAAAATCTCATCCGAAAATATTAATTTAGTTTATCCTTTTTAACCGAATTATTAAATCTTGCAATTTTCTAATTTCTAAACTAAATCATTTCTTAAAATATATATTTATCCATCCTCTAATCCCATTCTTTTTATAATTTCTTTATTTTTTAATAATATAAATTTAGCTTTTAAGGATAAAAGCTTCCTGTCCATACAAAAAAGACACCATTTTTATATTAATTTCACGTTTTTTTCATTTTAACTATGATTAATTATTAAAATAAGGGGTTCGTTTAGTCTAAAAAATTACTTTTGGATTAAAATTGCTAAATTTTATTCATCTTTTTAAATCTCGTTTTCATTATTTTCAATTGTCTCAAATAAATTTGTGTATTTTTTTATCTTTTTACCAATTTTTTTACTTTTATAAACATTATTGTAAAAATTTCTTCTTTTTTTAATGTAAATAAGCTCCTTTGAATAAATAGTCTTTAAATAAATTTAAATTTTCTCATTATTTTCTTCTAATTTGTCTTAATATTTTTCCAAAATTTTGTATTTATCTATCTAATTAGACGCCATTTTTTTAACTTAATCTAATGTACTCATTGAAATTACATAAACATTCATTTGTATATCATTTTCAGTCATTATTTTCTTCAAATGTTTAGATATTTTGATACTTTATTATGTTTCTTCATAATTATCTTCTTATATTATTATTAGTATATAATTTTCATTTTTATTTCCTAATAAACGGCTTATAAATGTCATTTTATTTAAAAAAATACTATCTGGTTCTATTTAAATAATGTTATTTTTATTTTATTCGTTGCAAATTGATTTTTTATTTAATTAAAATTTAGACTAAAAAAGGAATAAAGAACTGTAAAAAAATATTATTTTATTAGAATATTTAAAGTAGTTTTTTATGAATAATTAAAAATGATAATTGAATATTTTAAACATTTTTTATATATTAAAATAAGATTTATTAATTTTACTTTAAATAAAAAAAATAAATATTTTTATTAAAAAAATAAATATATTTTATATTTATTAAAAATATTTTTATATAATTAAATATTTGTATGTTAATAATTATATATTTGTATGTTAATATATAAATATATAAATATATAAATATATAAATATATATTTATATTTATATATATATCTATATATATATCTATTACATTTTTTATAGATATAATAAATAAAATAAGATTAAAATTAACATTATGTCTTTTTTTATTATGGATTATTTTACTGTTAAATTATTTTATTATTTTATAAATTTATAAGCAAAATTTTATTTGATAATATATATATGTTTTTTTAATTTGTATTTAAATAAATATTATATTTTTTTATATAAAAAAAATCAATTTTTTTTTAAAAAAATAAAACATTTTAAATTTGAAATTTTTGCTGAAAATTACATAATTATAAAACTTATATTTATAATTTTTTTAAATATATTTGAATATTAATCATTTAGTTTATAAATTATTTATATTATTTTACAATAAAAAATTCATATTACATTTAAAAATATAAATATTAAAAAGTATTTTGTTTACCTGAATAATATCTATCATTATTATAATAAAATAGATGATTTAAATATAAAAAAATTAATTTTTTTTTTAAAAAAAAAAATTTAAATAATAATAATTAAAAAAAAAAAGAAGGTATTTATTTAAATATAATAAAAATAACAAAAATTAATTATAAAGGTCATATATATTAAAAAATAAAATAAAAAATGAAAAAAATTGATAATATATTAAACGAAACTTATTAAATTTAATAAAATCGACATTTCGGTAAAGAAATAAGCAACATATGTGAAAATGAAAGTACGAACTTTTTTGTAAATTATATAAAAAAAAAATAAACTAAAAAAATTAAAAAAAAAATAGTAGAACATATAATAATTAAGAAACAATTCCCAAAAACATAAAATATAATTTGAAAATGTACATCAAGACAACAATTAAAAAAAAAATTCATCTAAAAAATTAACAATGCATATTAAACATTAATCTGACATTCCCCAAAACATGCAAAAGAAAATTTAAACACAAATAATAAATTAAAACAATAATACATTTAATAATATAATTTTTTCAATAAAAAATGGTGAAAATGAAATAAATAAAATCCAAAATTAAGAAAAACCATCTTTCATATCTTAATATGCGCAATAAATTTTCGATTATTTACGCTAAAGAGAAGTAAAAAAATATAAAATAATTAATTAATTTAAAGTTTTTATATATAGAAAAATTATTAAATAACAAATTATATGGAAAAACAAATACATATAAGTGAAAGAATGCGAAATTTACTAATAGATTGGATAGTGGAAGCTCATAAAAGATTCCGTCTTCTGCCCGAAACTTTATTTATGTGTGTAAATATAATCGATAGATTCTTAGATAGGGCTACATGTACTCGAGAAAAGCTATAACTTGTGGGTATTACAGCATTATTTATAGCAGCTAAATATGAAGAAATATATCCTCCTCCATTAAAAGATTTCATAGAAGTAACTTAAAGAACTTATTAAAAAACTGATATTTTATAAATGGAAGGGTCTATTGTGATGGCTCTTAATTTTAATTTTACAGTGCCTTCTGCTTTAAGGTTTATAGAAAGATATAATAGATTAATTTAAATTGATAAAAAAAGTACAGATCTTTCAATGTATTTATTAGAATTAAGCTTGGTTGAATATAAATTCGTGAAATTCGAAGAAAGCTTAAAAGCTTGTGCTGCAATATATTTAACAAATAAAATTCTGAAAAAAGCGAATTGCTGGCCAATAATAATTGAAAAAAATTCACATTATAATGAATAATAAGTTAGAATTTGTGCATTTGAAATGTGCAATGTTATAGAAAATATTAATAAATCAAATTATTAAGCAGTACCGAAAAAATATATGTCTAGTTAATACGGAGAAATAGCATGCATATAATTAGAAAGAATAAATTAAGGAGAAGTAAAAAATATAAATAATAATAATAAAAATAATAATAACAATAATAATAATAATAATAATAATATTAATAATAATAATAATATTAATAATATTATTAATAATAGTATAAATTAATATTAAAATAATTAAAATTATAATTATTATTGATTTTTTATAGTTATTGATATTTTTATATTTATCTGTATAATATATTAATTATTCTAAATAATATTTTATATCTTTATTAATATAATTTCTCATAATTTTTTTTTTTTTTTTTTTTTTTACATTTAATATTTATTTAATCAATATATAAAAATATTTTATATATAATAAATAAAAACAAAAAAATTAGATATATTAAAATATATAATTTTAATATTTTTATTAAAAAAAAAGTAATATATGAAATTTAATTAAATATAAATATATAATAATTAATTAATTATATAAATTTTTAATAATTAATATATATATTTAAATATTTTTTTTTTTTTACAAATATTATTATTACTTTTTTATTGATATATAGTTTATATTTAAATTATGTATTTTAAAATTTATAAAAATTTTAAATATTTTTTATTCTTTTATTTTTCTATCATTTATATTGAATATTTTTATTTTTTATCTAAATTTTTATTTATTTTATTAAAATTTTTTATTTATTTAAGTTATTAAGATTTTAATTCCAATATATATATATATATATATATATATATATATATATATTTATATTATATAATTTTTCTTTATTAAATTAATTTTAATATAATTTTTTATAATAAATTTAAATATATATTAATAATTAAATACATTCCTTGCTAAAGAATTTATTATTTACATAATCCTTTTTTTATTATTTAATTCAATAAATTATTTTTCTATTTATATAATTACATAATCTTTTTGATACTATTCTATCTTTTTTTATTTTTAGTTATTTTTTCTTTTCATGGAAATTCTCCAAATTAATGCGTAAACATTTCTTTCTTATAAAAACTTAAAATAAAAAAATGTATTTATATGAAAAATTTTAATATATAAAAATTATAATTTAAGTTAAATTTATTGGCTCCAATTAATTCTTAATTTACTTTTTTAAAATATATATATTTTTTTTAAAAAAAATATTATTTATAAAAAATAATTTTTTAATTTTTTATAATAATAATAATGCATTATAATTTAATAATAAAAAATATTTCATTTAATTCTTTTTATAAAATTATAAATAACGTTTTTAATTAGAATAAAATAATTTATTATTATAGATAATATTATTTTTTTATAAATTAATATTTAAACATATAAATAAATAATTATATTCTTTTTTAATTAAATAATTGTAAATATTAACAAAAATTTCTATGAATTAAAATAATAATATTTTTTTATAAGTATAAAAATTATAAAAGGAAATTAAATATATATATATATATATATATAAAATAAAGCATAAAAAAATCAAATTATAAATAATTAAAAAAAAAAAAATTAACATGCAACATCAATTAAATATTATCAATTAATTAAATTATTCAACATTATTTTTTACTTTTAGCTTCCTATAAAGTTAATCTAAATCTATCTTTACAAGTGCATAACTTAAGTCCACAATATGGACAAATTTACTTAATTTTTTACAAAAATTTTTACTCATCAAGTTCTTAAACTTTATCTTCTATATCTAAAACTGCTTTCGGTTGAGTTTTTTAATAAGCATTAACAATAAAAAACGGATTTTTTTCAGCTTTTTCTTACATTTACAATAACGCAGCTTATGTATCCTCCCTATTATCAGGTGCCGAATTAAGACTATTCATCATAAACTAGGTAACAGTAGATTATTTTCCTATTCTTCCTGCTTTTCCAGGTCCCTATATCGGTTATTCTGGTTTATGAGAAGCCACTGGGTCCTACCTAATTTTTTTTACAATCCTCTCCTAATTCAAGCTATAAGTATTTGAAGATTTAAATTAAGGAAGTGCATTTGGACTAATAATGGGCCTATTATTCTAAAGTTCTTCAGTAGTTATTTTTCTGGGTTTTTTTTAAATACACTAAACTGCCCCTTTCTTACTTTTTTCGGGATCAAAATAAATCATAACCTAATGACCGAATCCGAACATAATCTAATTTAAATTTGGATGCCATAAAATTTCTGTAATAGTATCTTCTCCGACTTCTATTGTGGAAATTTCATCTAAATCCAAAGAATTATAAAATTTTAAAAAAGCAGTTCTTTCCTTTATATTTTTAGACACAGAGCTAGCAGTAACTATATATTTATCTTCATTCTATATACATACTCCAGGACTAGGGCTATAACTAACAATATTATCTACATAAGTAACCGGTTTTGAAAATTTCCTTAAATCCCAAAGTTTTAATGTACCATCTACATTTCTAGATACGAATCTTAAATTATCATTAAAAAACTATATACCACCAAATTCACTTTTAGATGCATGTGCTCCTATAAATATTTTTTTGTTTAAAAAAAAATGTTAAAACATATATATATATATAAATAATTTTTAAAATATACCTCTCATACAAAAAGCTGGTCTATGAAATTATTATGTAGAAAATCCTTACAGTGATCCATCCAAAGTTCCTATCATAACAATTTTTCCATCTTTACTATATTAGAGTTTATTCACTTCACTTTTTATTCCTTTTGAATCTACACATTTAATTAAATTAACATGCGTCATCTATTATTCTATACCGAAAAGTTTCTTTTCAGAATCCCAGATTCTTACAGTTGCATCACTAGACCCTGTAGCAAAAATATTATAATCATAAGGATGAAACATTCCAGTATTAACACTTGATATATGTCCTTTAGTTTTAGCCATATCAGTTAAATACATATCTCCTTTAATTGATTCATTACCTCTTTTCCCGTTTCTATTCATTAAACAAATCTACGAGCCGCCCCCTACTACTAATAAATTTTAGGAATTCGAATTAAAACTTAAAGCTTTAATTGGATGTCCTTCCAAAGGCTCCGACATACTAAAAGAATTCATATTTTAATTCATACCATTAAAATCCCATAATCTTACAAAATAATCATTTGAACCTGAAGCTAGTCTAGATCCGGATTAGTCTATGGATAAACATATTACTTTTTTAGTATGTCCTTTTAATATTACTTGGTGGGATACAGGAAATATTTAGTAGCTTTTATTTTATTCTAATTAAATTTAGTCTTCTTATTCTTCATCAGAATTTTCTAATTATTATATATTTTCTTATTGATTAGTTTTATTTTTTTATTGGTTTATAGATTGCATATATATTGGATCATTTTTCAATATATCAGCTTCATCTTCACTATCAGAAGATGAATCGCTATATTCAGCACCTATTTAAGGACGCTATGGACCTACTTATTATTAGTTGGCTTAAAGATTGTTTTCTTTAGTTGCTTTGGGAATTAAATTGGTTGATTATTATATCTATTAACGATGAAATTAACTAAAGTCTTATAAATTATCATTTTCCTTTTAATTTTTTAAATAATCATCTATATTTAATATATCCATATTGCTTGATTATATATAAAATATTTATATTTAAATAGACAAAATATTAAATTATTAATTAAAATATATATATATATATATATATATAAATATATATATTTATATATATATTTATATATATATAAATTTATAAATATATATATTGTTTATTATATTTTTCTAAAATACATTTTTATATTTTTTATTTTATAAATTTTTAAATAAAACATTATTCTCAATTAAAATTTATTTAAATATATTTAATAGTATTTTATATTAATATTATTTAAAAATAACATCATTAATAATTTATGTATTTATAATTTTTAAATTTTTAAAAAATTATATAACAAATTAGTATTTTATCAAATTAAAAAAATATTCATTTCAGAAAAAATGGGCGAGGATCAACTATTTTATTTTCTTTTTTACATTAAATTAAATAATTTTTATTAACAATAAGAATTTATTTTTAAAATTTTCCTTTACTATTATAATATTATTTAAATTTTTCTGTATTCGTAAATTTACATATAATATAATCACAATCTGGTTATAATTATTCATTATAATGAGCACCTATTTATTATAAAATATTTTAAAAAATTTAAATAAAATATGTACCTAATGAAAAAATTAGTTATTTTATATCATTTCTTTCTGATCCTTCATAACCACTAATAGTAATATTTTTATCTTTCTTTTTTAAATATATATATATATATATATATATATATATATATATATATATTTTATTATCGTTTTTTATATATTTTTTAGAATTTTATACAAGTATCGATTTCAATGCAGGAATAAAAAGAAAACTTTTTTAAGTTATTTTCCTTTTTATTTCTTCTTATCTTTGTATATTTCTTGCAAACTCATTTACGTCTTCATATTTTAAATCAAATTATTAAAATTTAAATTTATTATTTTTATTTTATTATTAATTTATATAATTTGAAGGACTATAGTCATCCTAAATTAAATTATCATTATATATAATTTCTTCAAAATTATTTATTTTTTTATTATCCTCAATTTCCTAAATTTACTATATATTATTTTTTTTAGGAGTTATTTCTTATTTATACTCTTCAATAGGTAACTAATAAAAAATTTTGTCTTTAAAAAAATCATCATTATCACCTAATTATAATTATCTTTATTAATCTTTTTATCTTTTTATTTATTCTTCCTCAAATTATTTTTTGCTTAATTTCATAGCTTTATACAAATCATCTTCTTCTTCTTCCATTTTTTATAATTACAATTTATCACTATTTTTATATTAATTATTTCCTTTTTAAACATTTAAACTTATTTTAGAATCATTCCAAATATTTTTATTTTATTATTTATTTTATAAAGCACTAAAACTTTATGGTAAAAGACCTTATTTTTTTTACTCACTTTATTCAAGTGTAGATTTTTAATTTTTCTTTTCATTACTTTTACTATCATTTATAACTTAATCTAATTAGAAATTACTTCCTTTTTCATAATTAAGTATCTTGTTTTCAAATATATTTAAATCTTTAGAATTTCTTAAATAATATAAGAATAAAAAAAAATATATATATATTTATATATATATAAATTATTTAAATATATTATATATATATATATATATTTATATATATATATATATATATTATTTTTTCAGATATCCGTATTTTTTTAATTTATTTAATATAATTTTTAAAAGTCCATAATCTCATGTAATTTATGTTATTTATTCTTATTTTTTTAATTTTATAATTACACATATATTATTATTATTATTTTTTATCCTATATTTTTTATTTATATAAAAAAAATACCTTTAATATCTTAGTTATTCACTATTATTTTTCATTTTTATTATATCTTATATAGGATTATTAACCATTTTTTTTTAAACACTTGATTTATTAGATTATAATTATTTCGCTTCTTTTTTTTGAACAATTAAAAAGATAATTCCATTTACTTTTAAATCAGGTTTTGTTTATTATTATACATTTTTATAATTAAATTATTTGCTAATTATTAATCTAATTTAAATTCAAATTAAGATTCATATTATGCGTTTAGAGTTTTTTCATCAATTAATTATTTATGAAACTACCTAATTATTTCATTATCATTTTAAAATTATAATGTTATATTAGGACATGAAAAATTTTCTTTTATAATTATTAAATAACATATTTTTTATATTAATTACATATTTTTATAAATTAAATTTTTTCTAATTCAAAAGTTATTTCAGCTTAACATTAATCTATGTATTTTGTTTTAGATATAATCCTATTTTGGCCTTAAATATCACAATTAGTTAATTTCTTTAAATTAAATTATATTAATTCTAATTAATTATTGTTCATTTTTTTTGTCAAAGAATTTATTATATTTTATATTATATTATATATATAAATATATTTTTTTTAATTATAAAATTAAAATATTTTAAGCAAAAAAAATAATTTTAAAATATTTGAATATATAAAATATTAGATTTATAGTTTTTATTTGATAAAAATTAAAATATTTAATATAAATATATATATATATATATATATATATATATATATATATATATAATATTAAATATATAGATATTCAATTTACTTTATATTCATATTCATGTAATTATATAATTATTTACATAAAACATATTATAATACAAAAATTAAAAAAAAATTTTATAAATTTATATATAAGCTTATTTTACTCTAAATATAAAAAAATCAAAATTATTTATATAATAAATATTTTTAATGTATAAATAATTATTTATAAATAAAAAAATTATATATTATAGATTTTCCAAAAATAAAAATATAAAGGGAATAATGAAAAAAAGAAAAGTTAATTAAAAAGTAAGAAATAAAAGTTAATTATAATATAATTAATTTATGCATAAATACTTAAAATAAAAATTTATATTATAATTTAATATAATAATAATCATCTTGTGTAAAAAACTCCTCCAAAATTTCTTGAATATCCATTATTAGTTGCTTTTGCATGAAAATCATTGTAAACAAAGTTAAATTTAGTCACCCCTTAATAGCTTTTGATATGTGATTAATTATTTTTTAGTAAATTTAAAGTTTTAAGCTTATATACACTATCCAAAAGTTATTAATTTGTTAAAAAAATTTCTCCATCTTAAACAATATTTTCTACAATATGATTTTTGATTGTAGTTTTTGGAACGGTTTTAGTCCTTTCATCAAAATAAAGTGTTTCACGAAGTTTATTAATTTTTTTTTATTAATTCATAAGATTATTATATGTCGTTTTACCTGGTGAAATTCTCAATTTCTTGTCACTATTGTAGATAGAATTATTATAATTTCTTTCTTTAGAACGTTCTCTTTATTCAATTTCGGCTTATTATTAAGAAACTTTTGCTTATTTATATGTAGTTGTACTCATTTTTATATTTTTTTTTTTTTTTTTATTTAATATTAATTATATTATTAGTGGTTGATTTTATTTTTATTTGAAAATATAAAATAAAAAATTTATATTTAATATATTTATTTTTTTTAAATATTAAAAAAAAAAATTAATAAAATATTTTGATTAATTATAATTATAAAACAAATGAAATAAATAAATAAATATATAAAAATAAAAATAATATTATCAATACTTATTATATTTTCTAAATTATTTTTTAATTGTTTTTTTTATTATAATATAAGAAATTAATTTTTCTATACATTTAATTATTTTTATTTAATTAATATAAAAAAGTTATTTTAGTTATTGAGTTTATTAATTAAAAATTATAAAAACTTAATATTAATTAAAATTATATTATCTAATTTCTTAAAATGATATTCTAAAATATATATTTATAATATTTATCATTTTTTTAATTATAAATTTATCTGTTGTAATCTATTGTAATCTATTGTAATTAAAGAAAAATATAAATTGGAATAAAAATATTAATTATAAATTATTAATTTAAATATTCGATTTAAAATTAATAACTATATAAGTAAGTAAGTTATTATATACTTATTTATTTTATAAATATATTTATATATTTATTTTATTTTCATATATATATATTCTAAAATTTTACCATTTATATTTTTAAAATTGACATGTTTATTATAGAAAATTATAATTTTAATTAATTATAGCATAATATCAATAATCAAATTTATAATATGAAAAAATAAAAAAAAATAAAAAAATATTATTATTAATGTAAATTAATTTTATATATATAAAAAACTATTATTGTCAGAAATAAATAGTTTCAAGTATTAAAACAATAAATAAACAAAAAAAATATAAAACAAAAATATTAATATGTAAATAAGTATAAATAATAAGAAAAGAATAGTTTCATTTTAAAACAAAATTAAATTTCTTATTCGTAATTTAATTGTCATTAACATTAAAAGTATTTTCTGACATAATAATATTATTTTAATTATCAAATAAAATTACAGTTGAGCTTCTAGTTCCTTTATAACTTCCTTATAAAAAAGAATAATAAGGAGTAAGAAAAATAGAAGACTTAGACAAAAAAAATAACGATTCATAATATTAATTTTTATTTTAAGCAAATTAATGAATTTATTTTACTAAATCTTCCTTCGAAACCTAATTTTCATATTCTTTTTACTCAAAATAACAATCAATTATACTTTTAAATATTTTTAGCCCTTCTTTTTATTTATTTAAAGGATGCTAAATATCCCTTAAATTGCAAAAAGTATAATACCCATCTTCTAATTACTGAGGAGGATTTTATTCCATATTAGATTAAAATATAAACTCCATAGTTTTAAGATTTCCAAGTAGCAAGTTAAATGGTTTATATTATTAATATACATTTTATATTTATTTTGAATATTCATATATTTTTGTATTTCCCTCATCTTTAATTTTCTCTTAGAAATCACTAGAAATAAAATTTTCGATTAATTTGCCTCTTGATATATATTTATTCGACAATTCATTTTTTATCTTTAATTTTACTAAAAGTTCATAAAAAGCAGTAAGTAAGTCATTCCTATTAGTCAAAAATGATATATTATAATTTTATATATTTAATCCAATCCATGTTCCTTTATCTTTTATATCTCGACCTCCATATATATTTATGTCGTTATCAAACTTGTCTAATTATAATGTCGGACGGGAAAAATTTTCGTCTCGGTTGCGGACTACAATAAATCTTATTTTAGCATTTTAATCCCTATTTATATAAAAAAATGTAGTGCACATTCTTCTGGTAATTTATTGCTTATTTTTTTGGTTTTTTTATTTTTATTTTTCAATATATAAATTATTATATTTAAAAAATTAAAAAATAATTAAAGAAAAATATATTAATTATTAAATTAAAATAATTTAAATATGTTTTAAAATTTTCATTTTTTTTAAAAAAAAACATTAATTAAAAAAATTAAAAATATCATCAAAAGGATAATGTTTTCGTAAATAAAATTTTAATATATGATAAAATTATAAATTATAAAAATATTATTATATATATATATATATATATATATTAATATTTAATTTTATAAATAATATTAATATGTATATTTGTTTAATTTTTATTCTATTTTTTAGACATGAATTGTACTTAACTATAATAATATTAGATATAAAAAATAAATTAATTTATTACTTATTTATATGAACATTTTTTAATTATATTTATTAAAAATATAAAAATTAAATTATATAAGTAATTTAAATATTTTTTTTTATTAATAAAATATTTTTAACAGATTAGAAATAAATATTATATAAATAAAAAATAATTTATAAATTTTAACATTAAAAAACTATACATTAAAAAAAATATTGATAAAAAAAAATTATAATATAAAATAAAAACAAATTTATATATATATAAATATTATACTTGTTTTTTTTTTATAAATAGTTAAAAAAAAAAAAAAGGAACTACAAATTCATCTAAAAAAAAGAAAAAATAAACATAACATAAATATAAAAGCATATTTGAACATAATCTTAAATGAACCAAAAAAACTAAGAAAACATCTAAATGGACATTGAATGCGAAATCTAAATTCAATCAAAAACTCAACTATTTGAAAGTCAGCTAGATTAATAACAGTAAAAATACTAAACGAATAAATACAATAACCCTCAATCTCTCTAATATATAAATGAATAAGAAATAGAAGAAACAAACATATAATTAAAATCAAAATCATTTTAATAGAGTCCTTCTTTAGTTTCTTAATTTAACAGTTAATCTTATAATTCAGCTAGTTCTACAAATTAAAAAAAATAAAATATTCTGATAGATACATTCCAAATCGTGTCCCTTCTAATATATATGATTTATTTATGAATGAAAATACACTCGAAAACACCGAATTAACTGAATAAACTGAAATAAACCCTCGAGACTAGTAAAGTGCGTAACTTTACTCAAATTTACTCTAATAATAAATTTTAGGAGACTATTAAAAACACATATTAAATTCTCATTATTAAGGACCTATTTTAAAAGAGCATAATTATTTTAATAATATAAATATTCTCTATAACGGCGAATTAAATAATTTCAACGGAAATACTTAAATAATGAAAGAACCAAAAAAATTATTTACATACGGTCATAAAAACTACCCTAATTAATTAAAAACCCAAAAAAATAATAATAATAACATATAATAATTAATATTAAAACCATCCGAAAATGAAATTGAACGTAAAATAACTAAATAACCCTATAAAATACTAGAATCTTAAAATCTCCAAGATGATTTCTATCTTAACCTACTAGATTGGTCTCCCTAAAACTACCTCGCAGTAGGACTAAAAAATGAAGTTTTTATATGGTCCGGCTGTACTTCTACTATAACTTAATTATGCAATCTTGGCCTTTCAGATATAGTAAGTTCGGTTTCTTGGAGTTAGAGAAGTAATCATATAGCAATAGGTGATTCTTTAGGTAATATAAGATTATATGACACTGCAAAACATAAGTTAGTTTAAATTATGCCAGGACATTAATCTAGGGTTGGCAGTATTTCATGGAATGGAACACTTATAGCCTCCGGATCGAGAGATAGGAATATTTTAGTGAGAGACACAAGGGATGGAAAGAATAACATCATTTAAAAATACGTGGGACATAAGCAAGAAATATGTGGTCTAAAATGGTCTTTTGATGAACAATTATTAGCTTCGGGAGGAAATGACAATAAACTAATACTCTGGAGTCTAAAAAAATAAGGAGAATTATCTAAATTCTCGTAACATTCAGCAGCTGTAAAAGCCATAGGCTTCTCTCCACATTAACATAATATACTTGCCAGTGGAGGGGGTACGGCTGATAGATGTATAAGATTCTGGAATACTCAAACTCTTAAATAAATTGATTATTTAGATACTGGATCTTAAGTTTGTAATTTAATGTTTTCAAAAAATGATAACGAATTAGTGTCTACTCATGGATATAGTCTGAATCAAATTATTGTATGGAAATATCCTTCAATGAAAAAATTTAAACACTAACTGGACATACTTAAAGGGTTCTCTATTTAGCAATGAGCCCTTGTGGGTAGAATATTGTTACAGGAGCAGGAGATGAAACTTTGAGGTTCTGGACTGTATTCGAAAATTCAAAAAATAAATATAGTAATGTAGGATCGTAACTTTTTCCAATAAATATGGATTTAAGATGATTTATTTTCTTTTTCTTTTATTTACTTTTTTTAATACAAAATTAATAAAATATAATTTAATATTCTCTTTTTTTTTATTTACTATGCTTTCTCTACTATTTATATTAAAATAAAAACTTAAAAAATAAACATAATTTATAAATTATGTATATTTATTTTAAAAAATAAATCTTTATTATAGTCAAAATATAAGGGCATTTGTAAAGATAAAAAAATGATAAGTATTTTTTTATTAAAATGTTTAAAATTAATATTTAATTTATTTTATAATTTTAAATATTTATTTTTTAATTTGCTTAACTGTTAATTTAAATTAATTTAAAAAAAATTCTCGTTATTTTACTTAATGTTAATTTATTATTAACTAAAATAATTAAAAAAAAAAAAAAATATTAATAATGAAATAATAATTATATATTAATTAGAAATTATTCTAAAAAACATAAATAGTATTATATAAAAAAAATTATTACATATTTTTCTTAAATATTAAATTAAATTATAATCACAATTTTTAAATTTGTATATATTTTTTTTTTAAATAATTAATACAATTTAATGAATATATTTTATTAATATTAAATAAAATTTATAAATATTTTTTATTTTCAGGTTTAAAATAAAAAAAAAATATTATATAAAACGAATATATTAAAAAATTTGAATAAATAAACTTTAAAAATAAAAAATATTTTATATTTTATATATAAAAAAAAGAAAAATTTATTATGTAAAAAAGAAAATATATGTATTAAATATTTAAAAAAAATATTTTTAATTAAAAAAAAAAAAAAAAATAATTTATTATGAACAAAATGAAGGATATTAATATTAATATTTTAATATGTAAAAAAACATAAATTTTAAAAAAATACAATTGATTATTAAATATAATATTTAATTTAATAATTTTGATTAAATATATAAAAATAAATATATTAAATAATAATAAAATAAATTTATATAAATATAATTAAATATATTTAAATATATATTTAAATTAATTTATATATATATACTTATTTTTCAGAATTTTTTATTTATTTTTTTAGTATATATAATATGAGTTATATGATTTAATTAGATATATTTATTTTATAAGAAATAAAAATATATGTTGATATAAAATACTGTAATATATTTTTATTATGAAATATTTTTAATTTTTTTATATTCTTATAATTTAATAGCAATTAATAAAATTTTTGAAAAAATATGAAAATAGTAAATAAATATTAGTTAAATTTATTAAAAAAAAAATTTTTTTGTTACTTAATTTTTTATAATCATTATATTTTTTTTATAAAAAAAATACTCCATCATTATTTTTTATAAATTAATAAAAAAGCGGGAATAATTATATAATTTTTTTATATACAAATATATTTCCACTTTATTTTTATTGTATTTTTTTAAAAAATATAAATCACATTAATATCATGTATTTTTTTAATTTAATTTTAAATATTTTCTTTTTTTAAAAAAGTAAATAAATAAATATATATTATTAGCTATTATTTACAAAAAAATAAAATATTTTTACATATAAACAATAAATATTTAAATAAATGTAAGAACCTTAGAAAAACGAAACATCATTAAAAGATATAAATTTTTAAAAGCAAAATAAGTCTAATACAAACAGTACGGAATAATCTGAAATAGTTATAGAGAGAAAATACCAAACTCGTCAAAAAAAGCAATAATATAATTTAAATGATGAAGAAATAGAACTTTAATTATAAAAAGCTGAACTAAAATACTCTTAATATAAAGAAGAAGATAAATAAGAATTGCTCTAATATGGTTATTATTAAAAATAAATAGACTAAATAATTTCACGACGAAAGAAAAACGATAATGAATATGAATATTTAGTTAAGTATTAAAATTATTCATACTTGCATTGTGAATGGATTTCAGAAAAAGACATAGTAGGCTAAAATAGAGGATTTAAAATTAAATTTAATAAATTTATAAAAGATTTTGAAAATTAAATGAAAGAAAAAGTAAAAAAAAAAAAACATTTAAAAAAAAAATTTAAATATATATATATAAAAATTTATATGATGTTTTTTTGTTTTTATATAATTTATTAATAAACATTTATTCAAAAAAAAATATAAAAATTACATTCATTTTACTGTCCTTTTTATTTTTGTTAATTAAGTTATATAATAAAAAAATAACAGAAAAAATAAAAAAACAACAAAGAAAGTATTGTTTTTTTAAAAAATATATATATATATATATATATATATATATATATATATATAATATACATATTAATATATATACCTATATAAATATATATACTTTACATTTTTACTTTTATTTTAATATTTAGATATAAGATATTCATCAAGAAGAAGAATAATAAATTTATTTTGATTTATCATATATAGAAGTTGATAGAATTATTTATTCTAATGAATTGTTTCCAATCATTCACCCCAAAAAATCTAATGAAATAAAAGGAAAATGGAGTGAAAATATGGTTATTTTTATATAAAAATTACTTAATTTTTCTAAAGATGAAGAACATTATGGACTAGCTTTTATGGAACCTGTTAATCCTGAAAAAGATGGAGTTCCTGATTATAATGATATAATTTAAAATCCTATTGATTTCGGTACTGTTATTAATAGAGTTTATTTGGACTTTTACTAAAATTTTAATGATATCTTATAAGACATAGGATAAGTTTTTAAAAATTGTAGAATTTATCACTAAGATCCCAATTCGTATATCAGAATTTAATGTGATACATTAAGAGAAGTATTAATGATAAAAAAAAACAAATATATATAGAATATATTTATATATATATATTTACTATATAAAAAGTGCGCTATTGCCTTATATAAATAATGGCATGAAATTGAAACTAAAAAATATAATTTACTAAAGTCTTAATTTGAAAATAGTTAAAATTATTAATAATAAACTGAAAAAATTAAAATCGAAGGCAATGTAAAAATAGAAATTGAAATCGATGAAAATAATAAATAAAATTAGGAAATAAATTAATTTATTTAACAGTAAATAAATTCAATAAATAACCGCAGAAAAAAAGGTATTTTAATACCTTTAACCCTTTAAGAAATCGAAAAATACAATCCGCATGCTTTTTCCTATGATTGGTTAAAAGATAATGATGACCAACAAATGCATAAATACGTGTTTATATATTTATCTAATTAAGAATTACAAAGTCTATTTTTCGTAAAAGAAATCGATAGGTTATATCTAGTTAAATGGAAATCGCTTTCCTATTTAGAAAGTACATGGGAATATGAAAGTTAATTCCAAAATCCCTAAAAAATAAATGAATTTCGTTAAAATAATCGGGCAATAGATAAAGAATCAAGAGAAACACTTGTCTAATAATTAAATATACACCAAACACTATTAGAATTAGAAGAAGACAGTGCAAATGTCCGAAAAGCTAAAAAACTTACTCATTAAGCAATAATAGATATGAAAAATTAACTTTATTTCTATAATATTAAACAAAAGAAATAACTACATTAATATAATTAAAAAAATTAACCTATATATAAATAAAGAAAACTACTAAGAAATTATCAATTAGACTCTTTAAATTGGCTCATAGAGTCCTGGTATAATAAAAGAAACGTAATTTTGGCCGATGAAATGGGTTTGGGGAAAACAATTTAAAGTATTTCTTTTATTAATCATTTATATACTTTTGAAAATGTAAGAGGACCTTTTCTTATTATTGCGCCTTTGAGTACTCTTTAACATTGGAAAAGAACAGTTGATGAATGGACTAATTTAAATGCGCTTTTATATTAAGATGAAAAAGGATAGGATGGGAGAAATTTTTGTGTAAACTACGAGTCTTTCTATATTGATATTTCCACTAAAGGAAACTTTGTCTTTTCATAAGAAATATATAAGTTCTAAGTACTTATTACATCTAATTAGATTTTTATGAGTGATCTTAATAATTTCATTTTGGATATTCCCTTTTAGTTTATTGTGGTTGATGAAGCACATAAATTGAAAAATTCAGAAGCTAAATTTCTTTAAAATTTAAAAAAAATGCCATGCAAAAGAGTATTATTATTAACTGGTATTTTATATATATATATATATATATATATATATATATATATATATATATAATTTTTATTTTTTTAGGTACCCCTATTTAAAATAATACTGAAGAATTATGGACCTTATTAAATTACATAGAACCTTAAAAATTCTCTTCTTTAAAAGAATTCAAAATGAATTTTGGCGATTTATAAACTGAAGAATAAGTCAATAACCTCCAATAAACTATAAAACCATATTTACTTCGTAGAATGAAAGAAGATGTAGAAAACAGGTAATTAACTATTTAATAATAGTATATAAAATATAAAAATAAATATATAGTATCCCACCATTATAAGAAACAATAATAGATATAGAAATGACAACAATATAAAAAACAATATATAGAGCTATATATGAAAAAAACAAAGGGATGTTAAAAAAATAATTTTCATCACTAGTAATGGGTGCATCTTTAAATAATCTCGAAATGTAATTAAGAAAATGTTGTAATCATCCATTTTTAATAAAAGAAATTGAGTAGGAATTAACTTTAGATTGCGAAAATGATTAATAAAAAAAATTCGAAAAAATAATTTAAACTTCGGGAAAATTTATACTTTTAGACAAATTAATATAAAAATATAAATCAGAAAATAAAAAATACTCATCTTTTCGTAATTTGTACATATTTTAACCCTTATAGAATTCTATTTGAAATAAAAATTAATAAAATACGAAAAAATTGACGGTTCAATTAAATCCAAAGAAAGATAAAATTCAATTGACCGATTTAACGATTTGACCAAAAATATTCACGTTTTTCTTCTCTCAACTAAAGCCGGAGGCCTTGGAATTAATTTAACATCAGCTTCAATAGTAATTATTTTTGATTCTGACTGGAATCCACAGAATGATGTTCAAGCGACTGCTAGAGCACATAGAATTGGTCAAACATAGGAAGTTTAAGTCTATAGATTTATTACTAAGAAGACTTATGAAGCAGAAATGTTCGAGAGAGCTTCTAAAAAGCTTGGAATTGACCAGGCAGTATTTATGGGAGGTGAATTTAAAAGAAATAATGGTGAAAATAACAATAATAAAAAAATGGAAAAAGAATAAATTGAAACATTACTAAAAAAGGGAATAATCGGACTCCTAAATGAAGAAGAAGAAATAAAAAAATCAAACGATTTTTTCCAAGATGATATAGAATAAATTTTATAAAAAAATAGTAGAATTGCCCAATATTCAATAATTAATGGAAATTATACATTCCAAAAAAGCTCTTTTATAGCTAACAAAGGAGACTCTGATTTAAATATTGATGACCCTAATTTCTGGAATAAAGTTTTAAAAGATTAGGAGAGTAAAAGTCTTTAATTATTAAAAGAATTTAATTTATTTGGAAATAATTAGGAATTATAAACAAATTATTTCCTCAAAGTATGTGAATTTATATATGAAATTATTAATAGCAAATTAAATTAGACAAATTATAATGCTGATGATGAAAATAATATTAAAAATATACTCGAAAAAATATCTATTAGTAAAGATTTTGATATTAAATATAAAAACTTAGCTTTAGATTTCTCAGAAAAAATCAATAAACCTTCTAGAAGATTTAAAAAGATCACACTTTAAGATTTATTAGAAGGAAATAATAATACTAATATTTAATCTAATAGTAATTTAATATACAATAATATATATTTAATTTATTTTATTTTTTATTAGTAAAATAATTAATTGAAGAAGATGATGATAAAAATGACGATCTTTTTTATGAGAATGATTAAAACTCAGATTCTGATGATGAAGATGTTTAAATTGAGAAATTAAAAAATTATAAAAAATAAAAAAACACTAATAAAAATAATAAATAAAAAAAATAAAACAAAAATAAAGACTAATAATAATAAAAATAATAATAAGATATATATAAAAAATTATGTTCTCTATGTGAATAACCTAAATGTACTTTTTTTTGTTAATCTTTTTGTAAAAGAAGTTTCCATGAATAATGTAAAGAAACAATAGAACAAAAATAAAATTTAAAAGAAAAAGCAGATATTTATTACCCTAAAGAGTTAAATTTTGAAGACCTATAATTATAATAAATGACTAATAACAAATATATATGTATAGATTGTTAAGGAAATATGGTTATATGCTTTATTTGTAAAAATTATGGAATTTATAATAATAATTAAAAATTAAAGAAATAAAAAAATGACTCTGTAAATAAATGCTCTACTGCAAATTGTAACAAATACTATCATTTAAATTGTATTAAAAATGCTCCTTTATTTAAATTTATTGATTCGAATAATAAAAGATTTAGATGTTCTTTACATTATTGTGCTTCATGTACTTAATCTGGAGATTCTAAAGTAATTTCTTAATGTATTAAATGCCCTAAGGCTTACCATTTAGGTTGTTTAAATGGTGAGAAAATTAAAAAAATAAGCAAAAAATAAATGATTTGTGAATAACATAACAATTAAATTAATTTAAAAAGAAATCCTACTAAAGAAAAAAACATGAAATAAAAATAAACAATTTCTAAAAAAAAACTCTAAAAAATCAAAGCTAAAGAAAATGCTAAAATAGAAATTTTATAAAAAGAAAAAAGCTTACTCCCATATTAATATTTTTCTATACCTTCTTAAAAAGAATTTGATTATTTAAAATATACTAAAGTAATGAATTAAATATATATATTTATATTTTTTTAAAAAAAAATAGGATTGGTGTAGATATTGTGGGGCTAGATTTTCAAGTAATTTTACTAAAGGTCCTTGGGGACCTAGAACTTTATGTACAGTTCATTATATTGCTTGGAATTAGAAAAAAAAATTAGATTTAAGAAAATATAAAGAAATACCTTTATAGCCTATTAATCCAGACGATCTTACTGAATTATCATTTATTAATAGGCTTAAAATTAAATATTAAAATTTCGATTTTAAATTGGAATTAGAAAAAATGATAAATAATAACTTATTTTTAGTTGAAAATTAAATACAGGAAAATATAAATGTTGAAAATATTATAACTTAATGATTTTTTTATTTTAATTTTCATATTTTATAAATATATATAATATTATTAAAAATTTTGATTTTTATTATATTCTTATTTAATAATAAATAATTTTTTATTTTAGCTTTATAAATTAAAATATATTTATATATTACTTATTTTTAAAAAAATATATTTATTTTAAATAAAAATATTAAAGAAAACTTTTTACAAATATAATATATTACATTTTATTAATTTACAAAAAAAATAAATATAATTATATTAATTATTGGAATAATATATATAAATGTATAATAATATAATTAATAAAAATTAAATATATATATATATATATACATATATTTTTATATTAATATATACATATAAAATAATATCATCTATTTATATAGTAATTATAATGAACAAATACGATGTAATCGGAATCGTCGGAGAAGGTGCATATGGAGTAGTTTTAAAATGTAAAAACAAAGAAAATGGAGAAATCGGTATATATAATAAAAAAAAAAAGTATATATAATAAAATATAAATATTTGTATCAATATAATTGAAATAAATATATATAATATTTATTTTAATTATATTAGTTGCTATTAAAAAATTTAAGGAATCTGATGAAGACGAAATAATTTAAAAAACAATTTTAAGAGAAGTTAAAATATTAAGAATGTTAAAACATGAAAACATAGTTTAATTAAAAGAAGCTTTTAAACGGTTTTTTATTTTCAAAAGAAAATATTAAAAAATAATAAAAAAAAAAAATAGAAAAGGAAAATATTATTTGGTATTCGAATATTTAGAAAAAAACCTTCTTTAAGTTATTGAAGAAAAACCAAATGGTTTAGAACCTGAATTAATATAAAAAATAATTTATTAATTATGTAAATCAATTTAATATTGTAATTCTTTAGAAATAATACATAGAGACATAAAACCCGAAAATTTATTAATAAATCCGTAAAAAATAAAAACATTAAATCTTATTAAATAAAAAATAAAATTGAAATTAAAAAAAAAGAGACGGAACATTAAAATTATGTGATTTTGGATTTGCAAGAGTAATTTCTTCAAAAAATGTAAATTTAACAGATTATGTAGCCACTAGATGGTAATTTTTTATATTTTATTTTAAAATAAATAAATTAAAAGGTATAGAGCTCCTGAACTTTTATTGGGTTTAAATAATTATGGAAAACCAGTAGATATGTGGGCTGTAGGATGTATTATGTGCGAATTAACTGATGGTTAACCTTTATTTCCCGGAGAAAGCGAAATCGATTAATTACTTATTATTTAGAAAATTTAAGGTGCTTTAACAAGTGAATAATAAGAATCTTTTTAAAAAAATCCAAGATTTTTAGGAATAAAACTTCCAGATATTGAAAAATCAGAAATTTTAGAAAATAGGTATTTAGGCAAAATGTCGAAAAAAGCTTTTAGTTTTGTAAAAGAATTATTAAAAATAGACCCTGATAAAAGAATTACTGCAAGTTAGGCTATTTAACATTATTATTTTGAGAATTTAAAAGAAAAAGAATTTAATAATATTCCTAAATATAATAATAACAATAATATATAAGTTGAAAGAATAGATTCAGCATCAAAAATAGTTAAATAATATAAAATATATATTTTAAAATATATAGGGATTTTATATAAAATCAAAAGAAATAAGTTAAATTAATAAATAAAATACGATAATAATAAAATAATAGAATACAAATAATGATTTATAGTGTAAAAAAATAAAAAATAAATATTTTATTATTTTTAATTTAGTTTAAAGATAAAATAATTTCATAAAAAATAAAAATAAATTTGGAAAAAATACAAGTAATGAAAATAAGCATATTAATAATAAAAATGATATTATATAAAAAACACTTCTATAAATAAAATCTGTAAAAAAAAAAAAAAAAAAAATATTATATATATTAGAATTGAGCTTTACTAATATTCCAGAAAATTATATTAAATAAAATATTGCTTAAAATTAAATTTATAATTATTAAATTTAAGAAAATTAAAAAAATTAAGAATTAGATGAAACATTATATTAAAAAATTAACTAAGAAAGAATAAAATCTAGAGAAAATTTTGTAAAAAACTAAACAACAACAAAAAATATATTAAAATATAAAAAAAAGATAAATGCTAAAAAAAAAAAATCTATAATACATATTAATTAAGAATATAATAATTAAAATATAGAAACAGAAATGCAAAAAACATAAAATATAATAAAACAATCAAATTGTATTAAAAAAATAAACAAAAAAAATATTAAAAAAATAAATAAAAAGATGAACATAATATTGCTTCAACTAATAATATAATTACAGAAGATGATACAGAAAAAAAGAAATGTCCTTTATTAGTGAAAAAAACAAATTTTAGGGAGTAAATCATTAGAAAAAATAGTATTCATTTAATAATAATAACGAGTAAAAATGTTAACCAGATTAAAATTAGTCTATATAATATTCGAGAGTTATTTTAAAAATATATATATATATATATATATATATTTAATTATATATATTATTTATTAACTTTTCTATAAAAAAAGTAATAAAATAGGGCTAATAGTAAATCTAAATTTTGCAAAAATATTTTATATGCGTAAAATAAAAATTAAATAAGTTATACTTAAATGAATTAATAATTATATTATAATGAAAAATATGATTAAGACCATAAAATATTAGATTAACTTTAGATAATTAATAACAATTAACTACATAAAGATAATTTATAAAATAATATTTAATTTCCGAATGTGAAAATTAAATAATAAAATAATAATGGTAATCATAAATTTTATAATATGTATAATTAATATTAAAGAGTAATTAAATAATAAAATAACTAAAAAGAATCTTAAATATAAAATAATAATGAGTAATATAATTATTTAATAAACTTAAATGAATTAAACGAATCTAAATTAAATATTATACAACATAATAATAATACAGTAAATTATAACACAAAAAATTCTCCTTCAGTAAACTCTAAAAATAAATACTGAAAATTTTAATTTATAAAATAAAAAAATATGTACATAAATAAGGTTAAATATTATAATTTTTAATAAAAAAAATATAAATTATATTAAAAAAAAAACTTGTTAATTTTACACAAATATATGTATTTAAAATATCATTTGTTTTTACGAAAATTAATAAAATAAATTTAAATTTAAAGAAAAAATTCAAAATTATTAATTTTTAAAAATATAAAAATTAATTTAAATACTTTTTTATTTTTTATTTTTCTTAAAAAAATATAATTAAAATGGAATAATATTTAGAAAATTTAAAAGAACCAATAAGCTTTTAGGAATTAGAAAAATAATTTCCTCACATTGTTGAAAATTAAATCAAAGAAGTTATAAATTAATTATAAAAAGACGATAAAATGTATTTTTTAATATAAATATAAAATTGACTTAAAAATATAAGAGATTTTTTGATAAAACTAAAATAGAAATATAATTTAAATGTTTTTGAACAAAAAAAGTCTATCAAAATAACTAAGAATTGATTATTTTTTAATAGGTAAGGATAATAATCAAATAATAAGCAAATAAATAGATAATGAGGAATTATAATAAATTAAAGAAGAACTTTTGTAAAAAAGAAAAACTTGCTTTAAAAGAATAAAATAAATTATAAAAGCTTGAAAATAAAAAAGATATAAGAGCTAAATGAAATATAAGTAAAATATTAACTAAAATAAAAATAAAATATAAAAAATTAATATATATTGAATTGTTATTTTATTTTATATATAATTTGATATAAAATATAACTAAATAATTAATTTATTAAAAAGGCAATATTAATTATTTATAAATTTAATAAATTATTATTTTTAAAATATTTTGCTATATATTATATTTATTTTATTTGTGGTATTCAAAATACCTTTTTTAAAGTTTATTTTCCTTATAAAAAATTATAATTAATTTATTTTTAAATACATATATATTTTTTTAATAATAAAAAAACAAATAATTGAATATATCTGTTTATAAAAATATTTTTTAAATTAAAAAAGGAAACTTGTTGTGTAATTTTAGAATATATTTCTAATGTTAAAAAATAGACATTGAAACATACTCTAAAAGAATTTGATTTATAAGAAAAATGAATTTAATTAATAATATAAAAATAAATATAATTATAAATAATAAATTACATATATATTAAAAAATATATATATTTAAGAATTAATATAGTTAATATACAAATATGTTATTTTTTAATTAATATATCTATATATATATATATTTTATTTGAATTATTTTATAGTTTCTTATATACTAATTTCTATTTATTGACTTAAATAATTAAATATAAACTCAAATTCTACCTGTAAATATTTATTCCCACATTTAATTAGTTTGTAAAACAAGTTATTAAAGACATATAAAGCAATTTATGTGTCCTAAAGTAAATTACATCAGGGGTAAGCAATTCTATAAAACGGAAGATAAAAATATAATTAAAAATTAATAATAAAAATAACAATTATTTAAAATAAAATAAAAAAAATTATATAGTATATAAAAAAATTAAAATTATAATATTTATGGACATAAAAATAAATATATATATATATATATATATATATATTATATATATATATATATATATATATATTTTACATCATTGTAAATTTAAGGTAATTGATTATTTAATTACAGATTATTTTGTTATTCTATCTATATATATTAAGGTGGTTTATTTTATACAAAATTTTATTCAATTTAAATACTTTAATTATTTTTTTAATTAAAATCATTTATAACAATTATCTTTTATTAAATAAATTAACATTAATTTATATGATTTTAAAGTCTTTTAAGCTTACCAACCCAATTGCAATTTTTACATATGCAATTAACTTTAAGTTCCTCAATACATTGTTTTATTAAAAAGTTTATATTAAATTTCTTTTAAGTTGTATTTATTCTTTATCTGCAAATTGGGCAAAAATCATATTAATATAATTTTATTGATTTATTAATACATTTTATGCAATATGTGTGTCTATATTAAAAATTAAAAAAAAAAAAAAAATTAAAGTATTTTTATTTAGTTTTTACCCACATATTAAAGTTGTAGGCTAATTAAGTATATTCATACATATGGGGCATTTAAATTTTTATGTTTTAGAACTTTCTATAAATTGAATATTGTTTGTGTTCATTATTATTTATTATAATTTTTTTTTTATTTTCTATATTTATATATTTTTTTTCGATTTAAGAAAATATATATATATATATATATATATATATATATATAAATATATATATAATAATTTTATATAATTACATATAATTATATATTATTATTTTTTATAAAATATTTTAGTATTATAATATTTAAATTGACATTTTACATATTTTTTTATGAATTATTTTTTTATAACTTTAATAGATATACTTTAATTAATATAAATTGTTAAATTTAAATAATAAATATGATATCTATTTAAAATATTTTTTTACAATACTTTTTTTATTTATTTTTAGCAAATTTAATTTTTTTTTTTTTTTTATTATTAATTTTTTTTTAATGTTTTTAATTATTTTTTTAAAAAAATTTTAAAATTGAAAAATTTTTATAAATTTTTATTTTTTATATTTTATTAAATATATTAAAAATTTTAATTAATTTCTAGATTTATATCTTTAATTTATATAAAATTTAATTTATCACTTGAAAATTATTAGAAATATAAAATTATATATATTTAATAAATTTATAAAATTTTTATTAGTCTATATAATTTATTTAGTTACTTTAATAATCAGTAAAGAAATTAAAATATACTTTTTAAATTAATTAAATATGAAAAAAAATGCTTTAAACTTTTCAAAAATTTATTTCATAAATATAAAAACTTAAAAAATAAATAATATAATTTTTTTTTAATTTATCATTTTATAAAATTTACAAAAAAATATTAATTAAATTTCATATACATTAATATCAATCAATTTTATTTATTAAATTATGAAAGATAATTATTATTTAATTTTTAAATTTTAATCTAATTAGAAATATTATTATTATCAGTGTTTTTATCTATATAGCTATCAATGTATTATGTTTCATATATTTTGTCTTTTAACGAATTACCTAGGCAATTATCATCTTATAAGCTATTAGCTCTAAAATTTTTTTTATTAATTTTTTAATTTACTCGCTCTTAATTATCTCTTTTTTTTATTTTATAACAAATTAAATTCTATTATTATTAGAATTTATTTTAATTTAACTAATACTTCTTTATTGAGTATTATTAGTAGTATAATTATTTAATTATTTATTTATTTATACAATTGGTTCCAATTTATTTTTTTAATTATTAAATTATGTTTTCTATGTAAAATCTTTACTTTTAATAATACAAGAATTATGATCTTAATTACGATTCCTTAAACAAGTTTTATAAAATTTTTCATAATTATACTATTAATAATTTTTTATTTATAAATTTTCTTATATTCTATTTTCAACATCCTAATCTTCCTATGAAAAACCTGCCGCTTATAAAAACTATTAATAATTTAGAGGATCTTGAACCGAAGGGAATATACGCTTGAATGCACCCATATTATTTTCCTCATAATCATATATTTCTTTTTATATTTGATTTAATAATTCATCATCTATATCTCCGTTCAAAAAGGAGAATTTTTTTTTAATAAAAGATCTTTTATGTATTTATTATTATACTCTTTCGTTATAATATCTTTTTTTTTATATATATAATTTGTTTGTTAAATAAAATTAATTAAATATACTTTTGTTTTTATTTATTGGAAGTATTTATTAAATTTAATGTATCTATTATTAAATTTCTTTTTATAATAAAATCTAATGGAGAATCAGTAGAAAAAGAAGGTGTATGATTTACTTCTAATAAAAAAGGTTATAAATTTTCATCTATCATAATATCGAATCTAATTTTAATTAAAAAATTTTATAGAAGAAAAAAAAAAAATACCCAAAAATTTCAAAGCACATTTCATTACCATCGTTTCTCTATTAATAAGTTTTTTATAAATTAGAAATATGAGGTTATGCCGAAATTATACTTTTAACAATAATTTATCTGATTTCCATCATTAATAATTCCACATTATGTCCTTATTCTTATAAATGCTTTGTTTTATTTAAAAATAAAATAAACAATATATATTTATATATATATATATATATATATATATATATATATATATATATATATATATATATATATATATATATACTTTAAGAACTGAACTAAAACTTCTTTTATGTCCTATATCATCATGTTAAATAGATTAATTTTATATAAATTTTGGATGTTTTTTATTCAAAGAATAGTTAGTTAAATGTATATTAAGGTTATTTTAATTATTTTTATTTGGTTCTTAATATAAAATAGTTGCAAATCTTGCTAAACCTTCCTAAAAGAGAAATATTTTCAAAGGATTAATATTTTTAATTAAAACATACAGCCTTAAATCAAATTTCAATCCATCAATTAAAAAAGGCTTTTTTATATATTCTTGAATAACAAAATGTTCTTTATTCTATAACTAATCAATTGTATTTGTTAAAAATATACCTTTCCCTTAAGAACAGGCTTCCGGTTTTACAATATAATAGGGCTTTTATTTTAAGGACTAATAGTGAAATCTCTTCAATTATTCATATTATTAAGGTAAAATCCACGTTAGGGGGTAAAAGTTGTAATTTTATGGAAAACTATTTCTCATTTTAAATAAATTTGCGGATAGTAAATTTTTTTTCCCTAACTATTGACTTCCTGGAAAGTGATTTATTTTCTAAAAAGAAAGCATTCTTTTATAATCTTCAATTTATAAATAAGTATCAATCCATTAAAGGTTAAAATTACTTTTTACATTATGATTATATTAAACATCGTATATAAATAAATCCTCACATACATGCTTTACTATATCGTATTTAGTAAATGATAAATCAACAATAATTTTTGGTTATTATTTTATATATCTACGTGTATCTATCATTTCTTTAAATAACATAAAAGGATATTATTATTATATTTATTATTAATTTTAATTTAAAGAATTTATATCATTTTCAGAAGATTCAGTACATTCAGAATATGATGAGAAAATATTATTATTATTTTTTTTTATTATTTTTGAATCCTTTTCATTTTTATTACATGTATTGTCGTTATTTGTAGTAATTGTATTTAATGATTAAGATTAGCTATTTTAGTTATTTTCATCTTCAGATATAGTTTCTTCCGAAAATTTTGTTAACTTTTCCTCATTTGAAGTTAAAGTAGGTGATTTTTAAAATTAAACGATGTCCATTTTAGTTCTTGGAGTTAACATATTATTTTCGATTACATAATCTTTTATATGAGTTTTTTATATTTTTTTTATATTTTTTTTTGAATTTTCGTTTATTTTTATTTCAAATTTATAAGTGCTCATTTTTTTACTTGTTATTATATATAATTTGTATATTTTTTTTTGGTTATTTTTAATTTTTTTTTTTTTAGTAATTTTATTTTTTACATATATACCTTTTTAAAAATATTTTGTTAATTAAATTTTGATTATATATATATATATATATATATTTAATTATTAAAGTTAAATATTTTAAAGTCTAATTTAATTTTTAATAAAAAATAAAATATTAACCAATCAATAAAATATATATTTTTTTTTTTTTTATAAATATTTGTTTAAATATAAAAAATAATTGATATTAATTTTTTTTAAAAAAATTATGAATATATTATTTAATCAATAAATCTTATATAATTTTTTCTTAAATCTGAAAAAAAAAAAAAAAAATTAATTTAAAAATATTAATATGAATTAGGTATTAAATATATAATATAAATTGTTTTAAGGATTTTTTTTTTTTTTATTAAAAAAAAATTAAGCATTTTTTGAATATTTCTTATTTTTTTTATTATTTTATTAATTATTTTTAAAAAATATAAAAAAATTATTAAAAAAAACACAAACAATATAATATAATCCCAATTATATTAAAGTGAATTCTAATTTAAAAAATAAAATTATTATCATTATATATAATTATATCAAACAAAAAAATTATAAATTTAATTAAAAAATTAATAATAATTTAAAATATAATTAAATTAATTGAAATCATAATAAAAAAAATATACTATTAATATAAATATAGACATATATATTAATATAGAATAAAACAAAAAAATTGAAAAATTATTTCACTTTTTGACTAAATGCTAATTACTGATTGTCTTAATTAAAAATTCATACTTTAAGCATTATAATTTTAATAATCATTATTTATTTATTCTTAAAATTATTAATCATCTATTCTTTTTGATAAACATATTGATAAGTTTTATATATAAAAAAATGCGATATTTAAAATTACAAAAATCATTGAAAATGATTTATTAAAATAAATAAAAATTAAAATATTTAAATTATTAATAAAATAACCTTAGACATTAAAATAAATAAATAATTATATTGAAGGTTCAGTAAAAAGTCCAATAATTAATATATTGTTTTATATTGATAATTAAAATATATTATCATATTTACTTAAGCAATTAAAAAATAAAATTTGATATATTCATTAAGTAGGGTTGCTTTATAATTTAAATATAAATTATTTATTAAATAAAATATATATATAATTAAATTAAAATAACATATCAATAATATTTATATAAATATAATTTTTTTTTTATATAAATATTTATTAAATTTTAAAAAAAATTATTTATTTTTATTTATATCATAATTATTTATTTATTTTTACATTTCTATTTTATTCTTCGACATTTTAATCTAAATTGTATTTGCTTTTATTATTTAATAAATTATATTTTTTAATATTATATTACTTTGTACTTTATATTAAAGAATCTTAATCTTCATTATTTTATGGAATAAAATTAAAAGTATAATTATCAATATTTTATTAATTTATATTATTTTCAATATAATTCTAATTATTAATTTCACTTAGCTAACTACTTTTATTATAATTATCATTTTAGTATAAATCCATATTGTTATTCTAATTATCTAAATATTTATAACTATTTAGTTCTACTTATTGAAAGATTCTTTTTCTTACTTTAATCTTATTAATAACTAATATCTTTGCTTCTATCTTAACTTTAACCGTCATCATCTCTATAGTTTTTTAAATTAATTTCTTTTATAAAATTAATTATGAAATTATTAATATTAAAAATTATACCTTTTAAATTTATTTCAGGATGCTTCAATTTAATATGTTATTAAAGTGAACCTTCTATACTTAAAATGAATTATATTATAATAGATATATTTATATAAATATATATATAATTTATATTTATATATATAATTTTATATTTATATATAAATATATAAACTTTAAATATGTATATAAATATAATTATAACACATTATTATTATTATATTTAAATAACAAATATTAACATTTTTAATTTTATTTTATTAAATTTATATAAATATATTTTATAAAGATATATATTACTTTTTTTAAATTTTTAATTTTTTTTTATATTATATAAATTTTATAAATATCCTTCTTTAATTATTAAAAATATTTTATTTTTTTTCTAATTTGATTTTATAATAAAAATATTGAAAAAATATATTCATTTTATTTATAATTAATTTTAATTTTATTATTTAATTTTAATTATATATATATACCCATATGATTTTTAGCAATTTTATGCTGGACAGTTAAAACTTCTCTATATTTGTGTTGCTTATCTTCTGAATCGTTTTTATTTTTCTTCACCTTGTCTTAACGTGTTTTAATTTATTTTAGCTTGTGTTTGCTTTTTCTTTATACATATATTTTATATATATATAATATTTATTAGATTTTAAATAAAAAAAACTTTTAATTAAGATTCTAGTCTATCAATATTTTTTAATATATCATTTTTTTCAATAAGTAATTCTTTTATCTAAATACATTTATAATATATTGTAAATGATTTTTTTATAAAATTTATTGTCTATAAATTAATTTTATACATAGTTTGTAATTAATACTTAAGCTATATATAATTTACAAGATTCTTAAAAATAATCAACTTTTTTTGCTTTATTTTATTTATTTATTTAATAAATTAATTTCTTTTTTTTAATTAATTCTTACATAAATCACATAAACCTAATTATTTTTATTTATCAGATTCAATATCAGATTATATATCTTTTATTAAAATTTTAGAATATATAAATAATTAATATTAAACCGCTATTTTTATCAATATTTATTGATTCATTTTATTTTATTTATTGAAAAATAAAGATATAATTATTAAATAAATAAAACAAATATTTTTAAAAAACAATTTAAATAATATTTTTATTATTATTATTTATAAATTATTTTATAATTTTAATATTATCAGATATTTATAAAATTAATTATAAAATTTATATATTTAATTAATTAATTTTTATCTATTATTATTTTATAAATTTTAATAAAATTAATTTATTTTTTATTAATTTTAATAAAATTAATTTTATTTTTTATTAATTCTTATAACTTACGAATAGCATTTTTTAAAAATAAAAATTAATAATAAAATAAAAACTAAACATTATAGAAAAAAAGTAAGAATATTGTTTTTTTTTTTTTTTCAGAAATAAAAAAAAAAACCTTACATTCATTAATTTTATATTACATATAAATAAAAAGTGAATAGAAGAAGCACATTAAAGAGACAAAGTACTGTTAAATAATATTAGAAAAATATCGATGTATCATTTGTTGATTGTAACATATTTTATAATATGATCTAAAAAGGGTAATAAGTAAAAAACAGTTTAATAATATATGATATAACAAACGGAGAATGCATCAAATAAGAAGTAACTAATGTAATAAAAATTGATAATGAATTAGGAAAATAAATAATTGCTCACTCAGAAATAATAAAACTTGAAAATATTTAAAAAAAATTACCTAAAAATAAGCAAGATCTATTTTCTAGAAATAAGAGGTGTTATAACTTTATAGTATTTTAGGATAAGAATACACAATTTCTATAAATTTTAAACGATTTAATATAAAAATAATATATAATGGACAGTCAAATCAAAGGAAGTGAATTATTAAATAGTGGATATATAAAAATTTCCGATAAAATTTTATAGTTATAGTTAGAAAATAAACTATTAGAAGAAAAGTTAAATGTAAATTCAGATCAATCAATTTTTAATTTAAGAAAAGCGTTAGCCTTATATAATGTACTTAAAAAATTTAAAATTAATCAAGTTCATATTTTAAGATAACCTACTTAACTATTCACTTAATTATATCCTTTTATGACTAACTTTTTTTAAATATTAAATAGTAAAAAATTATTTTTTTATTATTATTATTTTTAATTAATATTAATATATTTTATAAAATAAATAAGATGTTTAACTAAAATTTTATCCTAATGAAATATTAAATGGATAATTTTATTATGGAAACTGTTAACATGCTGCTTAAGAGGAGCTAATTAGTTAATTAGGCATTACTCATGTTGTAAATATGACAACTGAAGTAGAAAACTTTTTCGAGTCAAATAGTAAGTTTTTTATTTTTTATTTTATTTTTTTCCAAAAAAAAACAATAACAAAAAAAGCTAAAGTTACTTATTTAAAAATATCTATTTTAGATGAAGATGATGTCAAAATATTCCCATATTTTAAATAAACATATTAGTTTATAAGAAATGCTTTAGAAAATCCTAAAAATAAAATATTTGTTCATTGCGCTTAAGGAAAATCACGTTCTGGAACAATAGTTATTATGTATCTTATGAAAAAATATAAATGGTCATTAAATGCGGTAATTAAAAATAATTTTAAAATAAATAATTTATTTTATTTTAAAGACATTAAAATATGTATAAGAAAGAAGAGATATATGTTAACCTAACCCAGGCTTTATGGAATAATTGAGTATGTTTGAAGAAAATAAATTTATGTTTGAAGGAGAAATCGAAGGTGAATTTTCAGAAAATTAATGTTGTTAAGATAATAATGATTAAGAAAATGAAGTAAAAAGTGAAGATAGTGAAAACGATATTATGGATGATAATGAATATAAGAAAGAATTATAAAAAAACATATTAAATGAATAAGTTGAAAAATCAAAAGAAAAAATAAATAGCAATTAAATGTGAAAGAATATAAATTTTTAATTATAAAAATTTAAGATTTTATTATATTTTTTTTATTTTTTATTAAAAATATTAAATGATTTCTATTTATTATATCTTTTATTTTTCTTTTAAATTTAATTATATATTATATTTATGTTTGCTTTAATAATTAAACACACGTTATTTTGATTTATTTTAGAAAATAATATATATATATATATATATATATATATATATATATATATATATATATTTATTTATTATATATACAATTTTTTTAATATTTATACTCAATATATATATATATTTTTTTAAATAAAATATGAAAAAATAGTTACATATTAACAATAATAATGCCCCTCCTCTGTTGTGTGTTTTAGCTTTTAAATTAAAAGAAGATAAAAAGTTAAATTAAATATATTTTGTATTAATAGATTAAGCTAATTAAAAGATAATTGAACACACATTATTTATAGTTAATAATTGTACAGATTTCTAAGCACATTTAAATACCATAATATAAAGGGTTAAAATATTAATAAAATCAGAAAATATTATTTACATCTATAAATCATCAAAAAGTAAGCAATTAATAGAAAAGGAAAACTTTGAATAAGCAAAAACAATAAGTTAGTAAGCAATAATAATGGACGAAATGCTGCCTATAGAATACTCTAAAGATTTATTTTATGTAAATGTTTTAGAATAAATTTAAAATAAATATGACATCAATAATATTCATTAGAAAATCTAAATACTTTCTTATTTTGAAAGTAAAACATTAATTAATTTAGTACAATTAATACTAGTAATAAGCTCCTAAAAAATATATTTTAATAATGAATAAATATTTGATTAAGAGAAAAAAAAGTTAATGAAAGACTATATAAAGAAATTTATTAAAAAAAAAAATATTAATTAATAACAATAAAAAGGTGAATAAAATATATTTTTGATAAACTAAGTAAATTAAATCGTAGAATAAATAAAAGAAAATAATTAAAAAATATAATAATAAATTAATGATATTCATACTTTAAATAATTTGAATATAGAAAATTATTAAAAAAATAAAGAAAAAGAATTATAAAATTTTATTTAAAAATAATAGTCGGAATTAGAAAAATTTATTTTTGATTAAAAAAATAAATTTGATTTACTTGAAAGTGAAAGCAATCATTTGAAAAATTAATTTTCATCAATTTAAAATTCAAGCGATATTTTTTCTTATGAAGTTATTTAAAAGCTTTAAGGATTAATATAAATTGATATTAATCCATAGGTAAATAAAATATATATTTATTCATTATATAACTATGTTTATTTAAAATAAAAATAAAAGGAAAAAAAAATATAAAAAAACTTAGAAAATAAAAATAATCAATTGTAAAAATACTAAATATAAAACACCTAAAATACAGATGAAAAATAAAATTTATAATAATTCCCTATATTTTTATCTTAATAATTTTAATACTAAAATTCTGAGAATTAAATACAAGAAAATTAACTATAATAAAGTTTTGAAATCCAAAAAAGAAATAATAGTCAATTATATAAAGAAATAATAGAAACATAAATAGGTGATAATATTATATTGAAATAAAATAACTGTACAGATTCATTTTTTATTTAATAAAATCCTTCTTTTAATTCAATTTAAATTTAAAATTAATAAAATCATAAAAATAATAATAATGTAAACCTTGTTTAATAAAAAAGTAATCAATAAGCTCATTAATTTTAAAAAAATATCAATGTAAATCATTTAGACGAAAGTTAATAAATAGATTCAAATTATAATTTATAATAAAATTCTAAAAATAATTATTAAAGTAATGAAAATTTGTGCAAATGGGAATTTTCCTTAAATAATAAAGATAAAAATGATGAGAAATGTTAAAATTTATATAATAAAAAAGTATTGTATAATGAAAATAATAAAAGCATTTAATCTGAAAGATAAGACAATAATAAAAGTAATATTTCAAATATAGCAAATAATTAAGACGAATTTAATATATATAATAATGAAATTACTTAAACAACTAATAATACGCATATTATTAATAAATGTGAAGAAATTGAGACTAAAAATAATTATGAGATTCAAGACTAAAATGTGAATTAATAAGATATTGGATTATTTTTTTAAGATAGAGATAATAATTAACAAATTAATAATAATATAAATAATATTGATTTTTTAAATATTCAAAAAGAAAATAGTAATAATAATTAATAAGAATCTGATAAAGAAATATTTTAAAATAATTATATGGATTAAAAAAATAATAATATATAAAATAAAAAAATAAATTAAAAATATGAATATTAATAATAAAAAAATATCTAAAATAAAGTAATTTATTAAAAAAAATAAAAATTATAATAGTAATAAACGTAATAAAATTAAGAAAAAAAAGTAAAATATAAATATGTAAAAAATAAATATAAAAATAGTATAGATTAAATAGCTTTAAATAGTAAAGAGGATATTTAATAAATGTAAAGATAAAAATAATATTAATAATAATATTAAATATAATAATAATAATAATAATAATAATAATAATATTTATGTTCTGATAAAATGTACGAAGAAATTTCGTTTATTGATAGATAAAATACTTAAATATAATGTTATATTAATCACTTTCCTAACGCAAGCAAAATACAAATTTTGGAATTATTACTAAAAAATAATCAAACTGTATTTTAATATTAAAATAATATTTAAAAATAAATATACGATTTCGAGATATTATTTGTTATAAAATATTAATTTTAATTTTATAAAGAAAATTAGCAAATTATCGAATTTCCTATTATTGCTTATAATATAGAAAGAACATAAATAATAGAAGAATATCATTAATATATTAACCATTAAAATTAATTTTCATTTTTGAATGTTTTTTTAAATATCTGTAAGTTTATCAAATCTTATATTGATAATTATTCTTGTGCTATTATTTACGAATCCTAATATGATATTTTTTACTTTTTAACGAATTTATTAATTAAAGAATTGTCCCTAATATTTAAATTTTTTATACTTTTATTAATCTTTAGATTATCCATAATCCACCTATAACTGATATTTTATAAGGTTTAAATATGTTCAATATAAAATGGTAGGGAAAGAAATTCAGAGAACTTGATTATGCAAGAAATATGTGCTGTTTATTGAGAGTTTTAGTCTAGATTGGATTAAAGTTTAATAATTAGATGATTTAATTTAATTATTTTTTAGAAAATTTAAATATTTTTTACAAAGAAATATAAATTGCCTAAGAGTTTAGTGAAACATTTTTTATTTTTCATGTAAAACATCGTAATAAATAAATGAATTTACTTGATTGTAAATTCAGCTTTTAGTATTTTTAAAAGATTAATATTTCGGGTAGTCATAAGACATTTTTTTATAATTAAAAAAGTATTTCTTATTTATATTAGTTTTTAAATAATCTAAACTTAGATAAGAATTAAAAATTCACAATTTTTAGTTTGGAAGAAGATAGTATTTTTATTGAATAATTTTTTAATTTGTTATATAATGGAAACGTTTAGAGTTTAAATTTTAATAATTAATAATTAATTATTCTTTACGAAGATATTGAAAATTATTTTTTAAATAATTAAGATGTTTTTTTATGTTTAAATGATTAAAATATTGATTTTAAATAGTTTTTCTAATACTTAACTATAAAAAATTTCAAAAATTGAATTTTAATTAAATTAATTTTTTTTTTAATTTTTAATTTATTTAATAATTATTTTTTTGTTTAAATATTTTAAAAAATAAAATAAAAAAAAATATATATATATATTATTTTTGTTATTTTATTTGTTTACTTATTTTTATTTTTAAACCAAAAATGCCTTTATTTAATTTTTTTTTTTTTATATATATTTTATAATATTTTTATTTTTATTTATTTAAAAATTATAATTTTGATTAAACACTAATAAAACATCACTCGTTTTTATTTTTTATATATTATAAGTAAAGTGCCATTTCTTAATATTCCTAAAGTTTTTTCTTATTAACTAATATATAATTAAAAAATAAGAGAAGTAAATCCCTATCTTAAATTAACTATAAAATATCAATATTTTCATTTTATTAATCAGTCCAAGAAGGATTTTTGAATCCTGAAAAATCAACGAATTATTATTCAATATAAACCACTTTATCATTAAAAAGAATATCTTTTTCAAAATTCGATATTTTATGGTCTTTTTGAAATTATAGGTAAGCTTTTTTATCAAAATTAAGAAGTACAAAAGCAGTCTAATTTCTATTTAAATTAAATTTTTTTAAATAAATCGAAAATTCTTAATAAAAATTTTAATTTAGATTAAAGTTATTAAAATCAAAAAAAAATAAAGATTCATCAACAAAAAATGCTTAATTAAAATTATCTTTTTTTTGAAATAAAAAAGAATGAAATTAAACCAATCCTGTATTATTTTCATCAAGTTATTTTAATTAAATAATTAAAAAATACTTATTATATTAATACATATTAAAAAAATTATTCTAAACACATTATTTTGGTTATTCTTTCAAAAATTATGGTTGAATCATAAAAGTGGAAAAAACAAAACCTCTTTTGATTAATTCTAGGCAAATATTAGCTTAATTTATAGCGTCATCAATTCCTCTATGTTTATGTCCTTAAAATTCTAACTAGAGAATTTATTAAGCATGAGATAGTGATTTGTTTATTACTCCCCCACTTATTTCTAAAGGAAAAACATTCCTTAAATTTATATATTTATAGAACATTTAATTTCCTGGTAAATAGTTTTTAGAAATGAATTCGTTTTTTAAATATTTACAATCGCTAGAACAATCGTATAATATACAGCCATTATAT